TATCTTAAGCCAAGTGCTGGCTCTTGCTTGTAATCCTACCTACTCAGGAAGCTAAGATCTAAGTATTGTGGTTCAAAGCCATTCTAGACAGATAAATGTGAGAGACTATCTTCAATTACCAGCAAAAAGCCAGGAGTGGAAGTATAGCTAAAGTGGTAGATCAGGAAAGCCAAGCAAGTGCTAGAGGTTCTGAGTTCACACCCCAGAAACCAGTCTCCGCCCCCCCCATACACAGTATCTTAAGAACATTCTAAAAACCACATTTTTGTAATGGTATAAACTTTAAAATCATTTATATCTATAGCAGAATACTGAAAATATTAACATGAATACAGTAAATAAATTTATCTTTACAAGATAACATTCTTTTAATAAGCAAAGCGACCATTTCAAACTGTAATTACCAAATATGCAGATCTCAAAGTACTTTGGAGTGGTCTAATCAATTCTCTAAAATTTGTTAAGTAAATCATAGAACGCTGAATCTGTGTAACCTTTATGTAACACCTGATGAGTTGAGATAATCCTTTGAGGATTTATCAATTAAATCACTTGGGTTTAAAGAAGTGGTTGGCAAATTGATACTAAATTATCAAGAAATTGAAAAAAAAACTGATCAGTCATCAAGCTCAACATTTGCAAACACCCATAAAATACTCATTGCCAAAGTTTAAGGGTAGGGCTGGGAAGGTGGCTCAGTGGTACAGTGCTTGCTTCACATACATGAGGCCCTGGGTTCAATTCCTCAGCACCACATAAAACAGAAAATGTGTGAAGTGGTGCTATGAGTTCAAGAGCTGAGGGACAGTGCCCAGGCCCAGGGTTCAAGTCCCACAAAAGACCAGACAACAACAACAAAAAAAAAGTTTAAGGGTTAATATATTGTAGATTACAAAACTCATTGTTATCTTATTTTTAACTGCTCTTGAGTTCTGCTTTCCCTTCTCCTTTTAATACAATAGTAAAAAGGTGTTAACGTTATAAAGACAAAATACCTTGGAGAAGAAAGTCGTCTTCTCTCTGGTTCTCTTCGCTTTCTATCCAAGGATCGGCTCTTGGCTCTTCTTCCAGGAGACAGAGTTCGAGATGGTGATTTGCTCTGCTTAGATCTTCTATCATTTAGAAGTGGAGATCGACTTCTTCTTGATTTATCCCGTTGTTTTGGAGACAAACTTCTTCTTTTAGGACTACGACCAGGTCTTCTACTGGGTGACCTGTTTTCTTTTCCAGAGGAAGCATCCTTAGAAGGAGATTTTATTGGCTTTTTTTCTTTATCAGTTTCAGATCTTTTCGATTTCCTCTCTTTGGACCTTGACCTTCTATCTTTGGATTTACTGCTGAAGTCAACTGGGGATCTGGACTTTTTACCTCGATCACGACTTCTACTTTCATTGACAATTGGGGATTTTTTTCTATCTTTCATCTTACTTTTATCTTCAATTTTAATTTTCTCATCAGTAGGAGATCTAGCCTTTCCAATTTTTTCTTGAGATCGACGTCGAAGGGTAGGGGACTTTGATTTTCTGGCTTGATCTTGTGATTTACTTCTTTTGGATGGGCTTTTGGACTTTTTCCTCTCCTTTGACTTGCTTCTAGTTGTTTTCTCTTTAATGATTTCAATACCTGCCTTACTTTTCTTTTTATCAGACCTATGTCTAGTCCGTTCTTTGGATCTGCTTTTACTTCGTTTTTTTGTACTATTTTTATTGTCCATAAGTTCAAGTTTCCCCTTTGTACTTGAAGATTTAGTACTAGATCTATTTCCATTTCTTGCCTTTTCGTGAATCTCCCCTTCTTCTTCAGAGCCAGACTCATAACCTTGTAAAATAAGCCCCATCCCAGACTGGACCTTTCCCTCCATTAATTCATTATCAAGTTCAGCTTTAATCAAGGCTCTCTGTTTTTCCAAGTCTTCTAGCAAAGCTAAATCATCAAGTTTAGTTCTTTTTGCTGGAGACATACCTTCTTTGTCAGAAGCATCAATAACTTCTTTTCTTTTGTGCTTCTTATGTTTATGTTTATGTTTATGTTTTTTATCTTTGTCTTCTTCTGAGGAATGTTTATGTTTCTTATGTTTACTTCTGTGTTTATGTTTCTTTTTTTTGTGACGACTATGTTTATTTTGAGACTGGTCTTCTGATACTTCTCCATTTTCTTCATTTATACTCTTTTCAGAATTATCAGCATCTTCTATCCTATAAATGTATGAAAACACTTCTTAAAATCACAATATTTATCAGCATTCAGTAAGCTAGTCACTAAAAATTTTTATGAGATTCAGATAATTTAGTATAAAGAAGGTACATAGCAACAACTGAATAATATATAGTTTTTGTTTGTAACAGCTTAACTCACAAACCATAGTATTAAGAGGGAATATTTAACAGATGAACATTGAAAAAATTAAATAAAATCCAAGCCTGGCACAGGAAAATCCCATAAACAATGATTTAGTTATAATGGCCACTTAGTACCTTGAGTTTTAAAATTTCTCACACATATTTAAACATTAAGAACTTATTTTCTTTTCCCACAAAACGTCCTGATATACACTGCAATTAAGAAAACTTGTCAAGTTTCAACTAACAAATTTAAGATGTTACTTTTCTTTTTTTTGGTCGGTCGTGGGGCCTGAACTCTGGGTCTGGGCACTGTCCCTTAGCTCTTCAGCTCAAGGTTAGTGCTCTACCACTTGAGCCACAGTGCCACTTCCAGCTTTTTCTGCATATGTGGTGCTGAGGAATCGAACCCAGGGCCTCAGGCATGCGAGGCAAGCACTCTACCACTAAGCCACCTTCTCAGCCCCAAGATGTTACTTATTTTGAGTGTATCTTACACAACCTAATTGCTCCTCCTCAAAGTAAGTCTCTAGGCCTAATAATAAGCTATACCTCAAACAAAGCAATAAATGTCCCTGGTAGCTGACAGTGATTAAGTAGAGAATATAGATAAACTCTGAAGCATTAAAACAGCATAGAGGGCTGGAATGTGGCTTAGGGGTAGAGTGCTTGCCTCACATGCATGAAGCCCTGGGTTTGATTCCTCAGTACCACATACACAGAAAAAACTAAGAGTGGCACTGTGGCTGAGCCAAAGAAGCTCAGGGACAGTGCCCAGGCCCTGAGTTCAAGCCAGGACTGGCAAAAAAAAAAAAAAACAACCAAAAAACCAAAAACCCCCAAAACCAAAAAACAAGCAAACAAAAACAACTTCATAGAGAACTAACTAGGAGTCAGTCAGTAGCTGGCTAGTAGCTGGCTAGCTATCACTAAGCAATTATGTAACACTAAGTTGATCCACAGAGGAGGACACTGTATATATAGGTCAAATGAAGTCTAATACCAGTAATTTCACATCGTTCAACCTAGTATTTGTTCTGCAAATTAACCTCTCTTAATTTTAAATGAGAAACTGGTTTTCAAAAATGGTCATATTAACAGATACCATGTAATAAAAACTTATGGGAAGTATATGGTTAAATGTCTGAGTTATTCTAATTTAAAGATTCTCATTTATCAATGCTGTAGTGGTCAATAATTTCAAGTGAAATACCACTTTAATAGCATTACAGAAGCTTCTTGAAATGGGGTTATGTCCCAGAAGCCCATTGTAATTTGAAAATGTTCTAAGTGGAAAATGTACTTAATACACCAATCATACCAAACATCATAGTTTAGCAATCCAGTATGCATGTATCTTTCCCCTTTAAAATCACTTCATAAAGTTTTTAGTATGGATTATGTCCATCTTACTATTTTTGTAGGCCAATATGGGTTAGTTTTGTCAGCACTTCAAACTATATATGCTTTTAACTTTAAAAGTTTACGATTTGTACTATATACTCCAATTGTCCCTTGCAAACGCAAACACAAACACACACACACACACACACACACACACACACACACACACACACATTCATGAGCCTATTCATTAATCTCTAGGCATTAAAAAAGAAAACCATACCATAGAAACAAAAGATTAAAGTACAACAGAGTGGAATAGGGCACTATGGAAACACTGAAGGATAAGCTAAACTCATATTGAGAATGGTCAAGGAGGATTTTTTTGTATACCAGGGCAGACATGTGTGTATATATTTTTTAATTACATATATATGTATATATATATATATATATATATATGTACACGTGTTTGGGGGGATAAGCAGGAATTTGGGAGGAAATAGAATGTGAATTAAAAAAAAAAGATTGAGAACACTGGTCATAGAGTATAAGCAAAGAATTTAAAGAGGGGGAATGGGGTGTTTAAAATCGAAAAAGCAAGTTAACAAAAGATATATACAGCAAATTTCAAACAGATCACTGGGGCTAGGATATCATATATGGAAGACATGAACAGAAGATCCCAGGTGGAGCAATTTTAGGAGATGACAAAACATAGTATTTATGTCTTTGGAGTAAGTGTCTGGAGTACAATTAAATGTTCATTGGAGTTAAAAACTGCAAGGTTGGAGTGTTGTTTGGGTTGTCTATAATGTATCTGCCATTTCTGGGGATTATGGCAAGACTTGGGGTATTAGAATCTGACCCTCCATATATAAGTTATATAATGATGGGGGAAGGGACTAAAAAAGTGGGAAACAGAAAATACACAGTCACTGAATGTCACCAAACAGAGGTCTGATTCTGCCAACCTCCATTCCTGAGTTAAGTGGCATATGGGAAAGGAAAAGGAGATTTGCAGAGGAAGCTGTAACCTCTGGTGAGTGGCTTTAGTCTGAAAGGCTTTAGTCTAGGCTAACTTATAGAGTAGGAAAAGCCATAGGATAAATCTAGTATTCTCCAGATTATACTTTTTTCCTCAAAAGAATATATATATATACTTCACAAATATTATATAGAGTGTATATTCTGTATATATATTACATACTATATTTCAACCACCTTTCTATAGATTGAGAATAATTTTTAGATATGAGTTGTCAAAGCACAAAATTCTAATAATTAAGCTAGAAATTAACTACCTCCAACTGCCTTTAAGATAAAGGAAAAATAAGAGTAGAAAGGCAGCCTCTAGAGCCATACTGCCTGGGTTAGAAATCTTGTTTCTGATCCTTGTGAGGCTTTGACAAGTGTGGGATTTCTGGATCCACAGGTATATTTCATGTTAGAGGAGAAAATAACAGTATCTACCTGAAAAAGTGAGGCTTACACAGCTACCAGATGTTAAATGCTTAAAAACAGTGCTGAAGCATGAACTTAGTGACCACCTTCTCCCCTCAAAGTAAGCTATTATTATTGTACAGATTACTGGGTAAATATATTTATTCACAAAACCTCTGTGGAGCTTACTGAGAATGTGTGCTTACTGAGAATGTTTTTTTGGATTTTGGAGACAAATTACCTGGTTCAAAATGCTAGTTTATGCCTCATTTTCTTCAACTGTAAAAACTAAGGAAATAACAGTGCAGATAAATTATAGGTTTGTGGTAACAATTGGATGAGTTCACATTAAGTGCACGTGACAGGTAAGAGTTTGAGTTCAAAGAAGCTTGCCTAAGACTTAACACACACCAACCTAGTATTTTATTCCCAATCAGTAAAAAGTTCTACATCGGATTATACATTTGAGATTATGTCACCGTTGCTCATGAAATTTGCTTATTTCTTATTATCTTTTTCGGAGTAAAAGCTAAAAATCCTTTAGCTGGTGCTGTACTGTCCATCCACACTCACCTTGCTCTGCCACAATGTCTACTTTGGACAGGTAGCCTCCCACCTCAGGACCCCGTGTTTGTACTAGCACTTCCACCCACACAGGTACTCTTTACTGCTTGTCCCTTTAGTCTCACTCAGGTTCTTTCCTCAAATGTTTCCTCAGTCAAATTTACTTGACCAAAAATTAACGGTAATGCGGTCCCAAGCTTAACTGTTAAGGTAATCACCATCCATTTAACATAATTCTTATTTGTCTTTATCATAAGCGGAGTACTATAAAAATAAGAATTATCTATTTAGGTCACCATTTTATCCCTAGGGCCAAGAAATTTATCTAACTCATAGCAGTAAGTTATTTCAGTAAGTTACGTATTGAGATAAATAATGTATAAAATAACAGTAACAAAATAACTTAAAAGCAGTACTCACTAGGCCAAAGTTGGTTTTTACTACTATTGTTCCAGAAGGGTAAGAAGATTATACTTTTGTTCAGTTCTATCTAGTACCTTACAGAGTGCACACGTAAGAGTATACTTGTTTATTGTACAATACAGGAAACATTTTGTTTTTTGGTGCCTGTCCTAGGGCTTGAACTCAGGGCCTGGATGCTGTCCCTGAACTACTGTGCTCAAGACTAGAGCTCTACCACTTGGGCAACAGACCCACTTCTGTTTTCCCTCCCTTCCTCCCTCTTTCTTTCCTTCCTTCCTTTTTTTTCTTCTCCTCCCTCTTTTTTGCTGATGTTGTTGTTGCTTACTTGGAAATAAGAGTCTTACATCACAGACTTACCTGCCTGCATTGGGTTCAAACTGTGATCCTGAAATCTCAGCCTCCAGTGTAGCTAAGGATTACAGGACTGAACCACCAGCTTGAAATAAATTGAAAATAACTACTTCCCAAAGAAAAAAACTGTTTTGGAACCCTTATCATTTCTAATGATTTTTACAGATAGTTTACAGTTCACTTCAAATTCTTAAAAAATCTTGTCCACAAAGATGTAAGGAGAACTCAAGCTGCTAGAGCTTTTGGATATCAAGATCTACATCACCATGGCTCACATCTCTAATCCTAGCTATTCAGGAGACTGAGACATGGAGGATCTAGGTTTGAAACTAGCCTGTGTAGATGAGACTCCATCTCCAATTAGCTGGCCAAAGTCTAGGTAGAAGAATGGCCAAGACGGTAGAGGGACAGCTGTTAACAAGATAGGCCAATGAGACTTCGAGGCCTTGACTGTCCCAGTACTGACATACTCTTTGGTTGATCTCTTAAAACAAATTTTACATGGAACAAAAACTGCAGTCTGCCAAAGAGACATAGGTCCCATGGTTTCCCTCATTTGTAATAATTAGTGTATATCTAGGATAATGCTAGCTGATGAGCAGAATAGCTCAATAGTTATGTATATATGACCACATTAAGATGATGCTAAGCGAAATGAATTCCAAGACATGGACACAGAGGTTTTTGTTGTTGCTGTTGTTTTTAATGTACTATGTGATTTTTTTCTTTTGTATTTCTCCCCCTATGGCTTATCCCCCGTTGTCACTGTATTTGATTTTGGTACCCTGGGTACTGTATATACATTTATCTGAATTAAGGCAGGGAAGGGAACAACTAAATGGTGAGACAAAGGACAAAGGGGTACCAATGCAACAGCAATACTCACAAGACAATATGTTGGAAATGATCAGTACAACTGGTGGGGTTGGGAGGGAGGGAAAGTGGGAGAAAAATGAAGGAGGGAGTAAAAAGTCAGACAAGAAATGTACTCACTAGGACAAGAAATGTACTCACTAACTTATGTAACTTGTAATGCCTCTTTACATCACCTTGACAATAAAATTAAAAAAGAAAAAAAAAGTGAATGTCCACCAAATACTCAACAGTAAAGAAAAACAATTTGCAGTCTGGTTGGGGGTATAGCTCAGACAGCATGCCTAGCATAAGCCAGGCGCTGGGTTCTAGCACAGGCACAGACACACACAAGAGGAATGGTGGACAAACACATAATATTCAAAATGTATATATGAAAATGGAACTGAATGACTTGAGGATATGGGTGAGGTTGGCACAGAAAGGAGTATTATGGAAGGGGTGACATTGATAAAGTTGTATTATATTCATAAATTGACAAGTTAAAACCATTCTATACAACTATTTATAGAGTTTTTAAAAAACAAAAGATAACTAAATTAGATTCATTACCCCCAACTTTTTCTAAGAGTTTAGGAATAAGTTGAGATTGTTAAATGAATTATTAGGTACTGGGTAACATCTTTTGAACAGAATCATTTGGAAGCAAAGCTGATTTGGAAGTACAGATAATATAGGAGTGTTTAATGGTATTTGTTTTGCTAATTTTTACCAACTAAACAAAGGTATGGGGTATCTGACACAATGGAAAAGTCTGGAACACCTCTAAATTAATAAAAGTGATAAATTACCAATCACTAGTATTATTTTAGCTTACTCTTTCTTATAGGACATTACATTCAACTCAATGAAGAGTCTTAATGAATTTATTTAGCAAGCACACAATCTGTTCTTTGGAGACACAGAAATTATTAAATTTGAGCATGAATGCTCAAATTTTAAGTTTTTAACCTAGGCAATTTTTTTTTAGCACTATCACATCAAAAAAGAATCTTTGACCTTTACACTCCTAACCTGTGAGAGTCTAAGGCAGGAGGGTCCCAAGCTCAAGGCCAGACTGAGCCCACAAAATGAAACCTTGTCTCAAACACAAAAACAAGGATTTTTAGGTGGAGGTGTAGCTTTGTGGTAATTTATGCTTAACATGTGTGAGGCCCTGGATTCCACCCCCAGTAGCACAACAAAAAGAAAAGAAAAAAACCAGCAGGGACAGGAGGTATATAGTAAAAATGATTTCAAGCTTTAAACGTAATAGAAAAAGGACTACAACAATGTAGTAGAAGGCCAGACACTACCATAGGTGTAGAGCTTTTGATCCAGACTGACTGATGTTTAAAGAATTTATCACTGAGTGTGACCTTTAGCAAACTACTTAATTTTTCTGTGCTTTGGTTGTCATTATTTGTAAAACTATGAAAGATAACAGTATCAGCAAAAGGTTGTTACAAGCACTGAGTTTAATATTTGCCAAAGGATTTGCATGGCACCTGGTCTTGGGTATTTGCAAATAAGTTTAAAAAAACCTGAATGGGAGGAAGAAAAATAAATGTAAAAGCCACTACATTAAAAAGCCTTTGGGGAGCTTATAAACCTTTTTCTATGTAACATCTGACTAGATTTCATACAAACTACTCGTCCTGTAAAGAATGATTTAGACACTATTTGGACAAACACTTTTGTCAGCACACAAAGTATGTTTTCGTATCAAACTGTTAGTGTCTTTGTTAACTATCTTCAAATTAGTGAAAACAGGGCAATTAGACCAGTGAAGGGAGGAGGGGGAAATTAAAGACTAAGTGAGAGCCACAGGATAAAGGCTCACATAAATACTTATTTATAATTAAATGTAGTATATTGGAATATGTAAAATGAAATGCAGCTGACCCACTCTTCAAAATGAATATAATTTGTCCATAAAAATCACACAAATGGGTACTTTAATACTAATAACTTTTCATACTACTAGAAATTAAGACCAAATAATATTTTCTAGATTGGCATAAATACTGCCACACAGTGAATTTTCTGAGAGCCAATAAAACAAGCCTAGTTAAAACTTTGGAATTTGTGTTTCTGCAAAGTCAGATTGTGAAAATAATAATGCAACTTTCAAATGTCCTTACTAATAACTTGGGGGGAAAAAACGAATTGTGTAACTTTGTCTAGCTGCGACAAACAAATAACTGAAGAGTACAGAACTTATGTACCACAATGAAACGTCAGACTCTTTATGTTAAAGATTCCTCCTAATCTGTCACAGTAGCTAGGGACTATCTTTTCCTAAGATGGCTGGAAAGAAATCAGATGGTGCAAAAGAAAAGAAGGTCGCTGGAGTAATACTGTTTTAAATACCATTTCCTTGTTTAAGGGTACCTTCGCAAAACATGTAAAACGAAATACTGCTTTCTGGTTAAGCAATAGTTAGTCTCTGCTTACAGAGATAAGTGCTCGCTCGGCCTCATGGTGGTGTGGTTTGGAAGTAACTAGTAATTTTGACTACTTTTTCCACTCGCCCTCCCGAAGAAGGGCTGGCTAAAATAAATAAAAATGACAAAAAAAATGCCAGAACTCAAAATGAGGGGCTCTACCTTTTTCGCTGCAAGTTTGCATGGGGGTGGGGGCGGGGGGGGGAAGATAAATGTATCGCGAGGGAGAGAGGAGAAAGCTCGCTGGCTATAGGTAACTACTTCAGGGACAGTCTGAAGAGACCTCTTCCGACTCGAGGGTCCTAAGGCTGCAACCCGTGGCAAGCGGGACAACGAGGAGGACTGTTTTGAGACAGAAAAGTGGGGCTCTCTCCGTCACGGCCACGGCCCCTCGGGTCTCCAAGAGCGATGCCAGCCGGTGCGGCGGGAGGGCGCGACCCGAGCGAGGGAAGGCGCCACGCGCACCAGACCTGTAGAGGCCGCTCGCGACTCCGCCTCCCGGGGCAACGACGCGCGGCAGGCCACGGCCGCCTTCGCCCCAACAGCAGCCGCGGCCTCTGGGCTACTCCGGTTCCTCAGGCCGCCCTCCGACGCTCCACGCCTACCGCCCCACGGTGGAACTAACGCCCGGGGGAAACGCAAAGTTTGGCTCTGGCCGTTAGGCCTGAACTTTCCCGCCCGCCGGTGCGGGTCTTCGCCGTCTCTCCCTCTCGAGCGTCCCCAGGGCCCCGGCCTCCGGCCCAATGACAGGTACTACTTACTCTGGCTGCTCTCGCAACGCCTGAGTCTCTGCAGCGGCCATCTTGAACTTCCCGACTCCTCCGCGGCGGTGGCGGCGGCTCCCTGGACAGGGAAATACAGTGGAAGTGGAAGAAGGAAAAACCCGCAGCGCATGTGCAGAGCGCGTAGGGGAAAACTGGTATCTGCGTCCGCGCTAACAATCCGGATATAAAACTCTACATCCGGGGGCGGGATGCGTGGCGTAATGACGCAATTTCCAGGGCGTTGGGGGCGGTGCTTGCTAAGATTAAGGGCGGGGATTTGTGAAGCCCGGGCACTGGTTAACGTAGGAATTGGCCATTTTATTCCATGAGCTGTGCCAGGGGGGAGTAAAAGCAGAGAGGCATGTTGACATCCTGTATGAGCTCCCACAGTTGGTTCGCTTGGGGACTTGGAAGTGGTTTAGACGTTTTATTTTCCCTCTTTGTGCCGACTGGTAGAGAGATTATAGACCTGTCTTAATTTTCTCAACCACAATTTTATCTCCCAGGGCCCTTCTGGTGGACTTTTGTTGTGTGCAACTTTTGCAATGTGCTTTATGTGGAATGATGCGTTGTGATTGTGGGAAATAGAACAGATGCTTACGTGGTTCCTGCTTGATGCCGTGCTATATGAAGTTCAGACTGTAAAAACCATTCTTAAAGGAACATGGTAAAAGCTTAGGGAAATTATGCTCATCGAGCTGGGCGCCGTGGGCTCATGTCTAATGCTAGCTACTTAGGAGACTGATCGAAGCCAGGCGGGGCAGAACCGTCCGAGATACTCCCATCTACAATGAACCGTGCGCCACACACACACACACACACACACACACACGCCGGAAGTGGAACTGTGGCTCAAATAATAGCGTGCCAGCTTTGAACACAAAAGCACGCAGGCCCTGAGTTCAAAGGTCAGGACCAGCAAAAGAAAAAAAAGACCCTTTGAACGGGAGAGACAGCCAGCGCCGAGACTGAAGGAGGGATGTTTCAAGAATACCCCAATGTTCTGTGGTAGATTTGGCATTTATTTTAAGGCTGTGTTAAAACTAAGGAAGCATCAGTCATCTTAAGCACCAAAAACATCTACGAAGCGAGAAACTTCAGCTCCGCATTTCATCCTCGCGCGAGTACCTTCGTACCTTAAGGCCTTCCTGGAAAGAAGGCGCCGTTAACGGCGGACAGGCGGGGCCGGGACCGTCAGGCGGCTGAGCGGCTCCCGGAAGTGTGGGAGGAGGGTGGGCCGGTCGGCGCCTGCGTGTTGGCGTGCGGCGGCGGCCGGCGCCTGCGTACTCGAGTAGTGGGGGTGGGGGTTCTGACGAGCGCCGTCAACGCCCCTGGCTCTGCCCGCGAGCCGTTGTCCCGCTGGTGTGTTCTCGTTAGTTCCGGCACTTTCCGGCGTCAGCTTGGCGCCTACCCCTCCCGATCTTTCCCCAGTCCGGGGCTCCACTCTCGCTCACTGCTGCTCGAGACGCCGGGGCGCCGTTGCTGCTGCTCCAGTGAGGCATTTTCTAGAGCCGGCCCTGGACCCTGGGGTCGACACCTTCCGCTGTCCCCGGCGAGGCCGCGGTGGGTGAAGCTACTGGAGGATAGACCCGGGAGCCCTGCGCCCGCCGCTAGCAGCCCTGGTCACCGGGGAGCCCCGGCCTGTGCGGGTTAACAGCTCTCGTGCATCGGGGACCCTGGAGCCCGCAGCCCGCCGCGGCCCCACAGCCCTCATTCACCGGGGAGCTCTACGCCCGGCGCCCGCCGCGGGCCAACAGCGCTCGATCACCGGGGAGCCTGGAGCCCGCCGCGGCCCAACAGCGCTCGATCACCGGGGAGCCTGGAGCCCGCCGCCGGCCAAAGCCCTCGATCGCCGGGGAGCAAGGCTCCGGTTCACGATGAGCCCTCGGCTTGTTGGCTCTGGCCGTGGTCTAATCCACCCGTGGAAAGTTCACAGGCCTGGGGATGAGGTTTAGGGCACAAACGCGCGTTCGCGAACGTCTTAGTCTTTTCTATCCACCTTGGTTTCCTCTTCACTACAATTACAAGATATATTCCGTCCCGTCCCCCCCCCCCCCCGCTTTGGTAGAAAGGGATTGATTTTGCTCCTTCCAAACTACATCAATCCCGTGTTAGCCTATGGTGGGGACAGGCTACAAACAAAAGTAACCTAGAATCAAGAAATCCTTTAAAGACCTTTATTAATCTATGTAAACACACCCCAAATCAACTAAAAGCATGTAGATTACTAAAATTTAGATGGTCCTTAACGGTCTATTTACTTGAGATCTGAATAGGGAATGTGGAACTGTTTGAGAAAGCAAATGAACTGTTTCCTTTATTACAAAACGCTTTCAGCAAGTGCAAAGCTCTGACTTGAAACCTCAGTAACCTCCCAAACAGAAAACAAACACACTTTGTTAGCCAGGCTGGTATTAATTCACTGTTCTCCCTCTGCCCCTGAGTTGTAATATAAATCTGAACCACTATGCCTGACTTAATTTATGGTTTGGGTTTCGTTTTGCTTGGGGTTTGTTTTGAAGCACTAATGGTGTATTTATGAAAAACAGGCCAATATAAAGTGGAAGCAAAAAAAAAAAAAACCCTTTACCTACACTGAGCCAACATTTTAATGCCTTTTTAATGTTGATTCCTTTAGCCTTTTTCATGTGAAATAATAAATATGTTTTGAATGGAGAGATTATATAATACATGGATTTATTGGATGAGAGTTTCAGAGAAAAGACTGAAAAGCTTTTGGCCTGAACAATTGAATGGATGTATTTAAAAGTGACAAGCTAAAGCCCGGCATAGGTGGCTCACGCCTGTAATCCTATCTACTCAGGAGGCTGAGATCTGAGGATCAGGGTTCAAAGCCAGCCGGGGCAGGAAAGTCCATGAGACACTTATCTCCAATAAACCACTAGAAAACTGGAAGTGGCGCTGTGGTTCAAGCAGTAGAGCACTCGCCTTGAGCTGAAGAGCGCAGGGACAGGGCCCAAGCCCAGAGTTCAAGCCCCAAGACCGACCAAAAAAAAAGTGACAAGCTAAATGAAGAGTAGATATTAGGTGAAGGGAAAGCTGTAAGTTTACCAGTCTTGTTAGGCGTTAAATGTCTTGTTGAAAGCTGAGTCTTAAAGACTTTTTTTGCTCAAAGCTGGTACTCTACAACTTGCTTTCCTTCTGGCTTTTTGCCCGTTAATTGGAGATAAGAGATGTGTCTGCCTGAATTAGCTTTGATCTCAGCCTACTGGTTAACTAGGATTACAAGTGTAAGCCACTGGTGCTTGGCTTTTTATACCTGCAACTTTGTACCCTTTGTCCAACTTGTCTGCATTTATCTCTACCTCCACACCTATATCCATCTTTCTGTTCTGCTTCTGTGAGCTCCACTTTTTTTTATGTATATTCCACATGTAAGTGATATTTCCCTTTCTTTGCCTGGCTTAATCCACTTAGTCTTCTGGGTAGAAATCCATAAATGCTATCAATGACCATGTTGTTCAAGTGAATGGCAGAATGGCCTGTAGGGCTGGATGTAAGTGTGTGTCTATGTTTATCTTTTTTTTCTAATTCCATTGTCACCATTTTAAGCCTCCATCTTGTTACATCCATCTTGTTACAGCCGTCTTTTCTATTTCTTTGCTTCTGCCTTGGCTGTACTCCAAACTGCTCAACCCAGAAACTGGAGCAATCTTTCTAAAGCATGATCAGAGTATGTCATTTTTGAGCTTAAAAATCACTTAATGGGACTATAGCACTTGAAATGTGTGACTTAAAATGCAGCTTCTTAATATGACCTATAATAAGCCTTGATGATTTGAGCTCAGCCTGTTTTCAATCTCATCTTTCTACCTCGATATGAGCGTGTTAATTCTAAAATATGCCATACTTTTTCCCATCTTAAGGCTTAGGTTTGTGCTGTTTCCACTGTTTGGATTTCTCTTTTAACCTTGATTACCACAATTCATTCTATACTCTTAAATATCAGTTCCACAGAGAGCACTTCTTTGAATGATAGACTTCCTTCTAGATCTGATACATATGAAGTGGGAACAATCTTTGCTACAGCTTCTATAAAGCATCCTGATTTCCTTAATAAAACCTTACGGGACTGTTTGTCATTGTTCTAGTACTCAGCTTTCTATCTTTGTGACAAACTACCTGAGAAAGTCAACTTAAGGGAATATTTATTTTGGATAAAGTTTTAAGGACTTCAAACAGTCATTTGGTTCCTCCATTTCTGTGAGGAGTTCGCATCATAGCAGAGAATAAAGCTACTTACCTCATTGTATCCAGTAGGGGGAGGAGGAAAGGTCTGGGGACAAGCTATAACCCCCCACCCCAAGTAGGACCCTAAGAACCCACTCTCCCCGACTAGGTCCTATCTCCTAAATTTCTTTCACTTCCAATCAAGTTATGAACTCGTCGGGATTAATCTGTTGATGGACTTGAGTCCTCATGAGATAGATGGAAGAATATAAGAAGATAAGAGCATGAACCTAGTGTGTTATCAGTAAAAATAGGAAGATGTGAGTAGCAAAGTTCTTGAAAAACTAGGAATAATAGATGTTGCAATAGAGTTGGGGAATTTAGGAAATATTTTTGGTAAATATGCCTGCAACATTAAAAACTTCTAACTACTCAATATATAGGAATGATGATATTTGTAATATCTACCCAATATCTGTGAACAGTACACAGCACACATCTTAGTGTCTTTCCCAGTACTCAGCCAGATGGGGTCAAATTCCAAGGCTTTAAACAGTCCACTCCTGTGGAAAATCTATAGAAGTAACCTGTTTAAGTCCATCCAAGGAAGAATACTCACCCCTGAGTTAGTGAGTCAATTACTGTGTCTGTTTAGTTATACAACCACTGAATATTTTGAGTTCCTAAGTTTATGGGCTTTATTAGCGTACATTGGGAGTGCCAAGGAGATTTCATTGTAATAACTCCATGCTCATAGTGTACTTTGTTCAAGTTTACCCACTTTGTTATAATTCTTTAACCACTCCCTTACTACCTTCCTTTATCAAAGGGAGAATATAATTCTTTCTTTGAGTGTGTGTATATGTGTGTGTGTGTGTGCGCGCGTGTGTGTCCACACACAGTATCTTTGATCCATTTTGTATGGATTTTTGTAGAAGATTAGTGATATGGGTCTAATTTCAGTCTTAATGTAGATAACCAGTTTTCCCAGTACTATTTGTTGAAGAGG